ACACACACACACACACACACACACACACACACACACACACACACACAATGTTGCAACCTTGTGTGGGAACTGCAGGTGCACAAAAACAAAAGAAACATATACGGCACATTGTTTTCTGCTCTAATTTTCTGTCTATCTGCTAAAAATTGGGACCACACTGGCACAGTTTTGCCAGAGTGGTTTCTTATAACCGATCAAGAGGGCCAAAAGGTTCTCTGCCCAGAGGGCCCTGGAATTGATTTTGAATGAGAGAGAGAAGTTAAGATCAGGTAAACATCTGCTCAGTATTTTAATATAAAAGTGATTTTGAGGCATTAAAGGCCACAAAATGCAATGGGTCCGTCAGACCCACAAACACTGGCTGAGTAACAACAATATGAACACCACACAAGGGATTAATCTGTTATAGCATGCTTAGAGGTGCATGTGTCAGCCTGCATGTGTCACGTTTTAAAAGGAGGGGAGAGTTTTGATACATTTGGGAAATTCTAATTTGCCATGAATTTATAAATGGAGTTCCTTTAAATAGGCCATAGGCTGAAGCCTGTATCGTTAAGTTTCGCTCCACTTATTGAGGGACTACTAAATGACACCTGCAAAAAAATCCTTAGTGCATTTTGAGCTCATAACCAAAAGTTCTCCAATCGCTTTGCGCCAGTATTTTTACAATAATTACTTAAAAATGTAACTATATCGGTAGCCTGATCACACCGGTAAAGTACGCTCGAATCAAGCCGCCTAGCCGTTAGCCAATCAGAGCGCGTCCTTCAGGTACGCTCTCCCATTCAGAGGCGAGAACAGAAGAACAACAACAAACATGGCTGCTCCCGTGGAGCAGTGCATTCCCGTTGATCAGACAGAAAACGCAAGACAAATGAGGATTATATATGCATCACACACATATAATCGGTAGAAAAAGAACGGACACAGCACAGTTGTTCGTGGAAGAAGCTGGTCGTATTTTCCCGTAAGTGTATGGACGGAGTTGACCGCACGTTGGCGGAGGGACACAAGACAAAGAAAGGTAAATTGGTCCAAGCAGAAACTATAAATGCTGGTGATTAGATAATTTGCAGACAGCATCTTTGTTTGTGGCTTATAATCAAAAGCTAAAGTAATACATTTGTTGGTAAAAAAAATGTGTAATTGGTGCCAGCCCTAGCCTTCTCACATCATTATGAAGTAGGTGTATGAAGGCTATGTGTAGGGCCTCAATAATAATAAAAGGCATTATTATGAATTTGAAGTGATGATAGGCAATTAATTGATTTGTCAAAGAATGGTTAGATTTTAAATTTGTCACCCAACTACCAGTTCAGTCTGGTAAAAGAGAGAAAATGTATTCGATATTATTTGTTGGCAGCTGGTTTATGATTGAACTTTAACTCTCTCTCTGCTAGGGAGTTTGGTTAATGCAGCTGAAGTGAAAATGGACGAATCCATCCTCAAGGATGTACGTGGAAAAGATTGTGTCGCAATTGAAGTCCGGTAGCACAAACGGTGCTACAAAGAAAGTTCAATTCAATTCAATTTTATGTATATTGATACTAATGATAATGATAGGAGTTATGACAGAAATAACACTATGCAGAGTAGTAGCAGAGCAGGAACACGGGGGCAGCAGGAAACTCCCAATCACAGATCCAGACTCCACAGCTCTAGGAACACCTGCAGGAAGTGATAGTAGGAGACTCCTATCCCTCCTATGATTTTGATGATTCATAGTTTCTGTGTGTTTTCTATTGTAATTCTCAAGGCGTAACAACCCGAAGTGATCCTAAAAAGTTTAACATCTCAAGGCTTGCTGGGTCCAACAAAAGTAATTGTTTAAAAACAGAAATGTCTTTGTGCCTTCTTTAATTCCCTGTACATTTCCATATTAAGTCTTGCCTCAGAGGAGTGAATTCACAACCCTCGGGTTAGCTGATTGAAACCATTTAATTTCTGAAAACCAATTTGAATATTTGTCGATGGTAAACTGAATTTTGTAGTAAATGTGAAAAAAACAATCTTGTAGCTTATAAATAAGAGTTCATTTTTTAATGTTGTGATATTAATACTTTCCATTGTTCTTATAAATAATCAATAATTATGATTATTATTATTCCTATTGTTATGAGGCATCTGAAAACTTTACCCCTTTTCAAAATCATGTTATCATTGCTATTGCCATTTGTCAATAGTTACTGAGTGGAGATTTATAAATGGTTAGAATCGGTCTTTATAATTATATATGTACATGTATAAAATTTGGGAGATATCAACTTTGGCATGCTTAGTGCTTGGTAGAATTGTTCAAAAGTAATTGAAAAATTATATGTATGTTATTCTCTTTCAGTTTTTCTGAAGATGATTAATTCTCTCTGTAAATATTCATAAATGTTGCAACAAACAGAAGAAGTAACTCTTGTTGGTGTGGGAATGGAGTGGTGGTGGTGGTGGTGGTGGTGGGGGGGGGGTTGTTACTATTATTTTTGTTATTATTTGTTCATTAATTCCATGATTGCTTAATTTGATATCAGATCCATTGAATAAACAGTATAAATTTACTTGAAGATTCTTCTAGTTTTTATTGTTATTTCCGAAAATTTTGCTTCCAATATCGTAACTGGTCTGCTAGGTGATAAAATTCACACCACTTTAAATAGTTATTAATTAACCAGACACAAAGGGATATCTTTATATTAGAGTTTTTCAATTTAAAATTCAAAGAATTGCAGTTTTCATGTGCAATAAATATATATTTTGGGAAATTGCGAAATTGTTAAAAAGTGTATGTTTTCATTTAGAATAACTTCTTACTTAAAGCACGCAGAACATTGCCGCTTTAGAAGCTCAGAGTAAGTATGAATGTCTGTGGGAATCAAAGATTTGAGTACAATCGCATTAATAATAAAAAAGTTACAAGGGTTTGAAAATGGTAGAAGACCCAAAATCGTCACTTTTTGGGGTAAACTGCCACCTTTGGCACCCATTTTCTCAAATACTGGCAGGAATCCCATGGAGAACTTTTTTTCCCAGCTCCAGTACATATTCAAGATTGGAAAAGTGCTATCAAAAGTAGTCCCCAGGTTAGTGGAGCGAAATCCTATTTCTAGCCACATTTTGAGCTTCAGCCTATGGCCTAAAAACGGGAAATGATAAACAACCTGTCAATTAACCCTAACCCAGACGTCAATAATCCATTTTATATAACTTTTTTCTACTCTTCCTTCTTGCAAAATGTCATCCACTAATTCATCAAAATCAAGCGGTCTAACCAGGTCTGATTCAATGGCCAGAGGTGACAGGGAGTTCAAGCGGTAGGGGCCCTCGAAATCAGTCAGAGGCCCTTGGTAGGGGCCTCGAAATCAGTCGGAGGGCCCTGGTAGGGGCCCTTATATCAGTCAGAGGCCCCTGGTAGGGGCCCTCGAAATCAGTCAGAGGGCCCTGGTAGGGGCCCTCGAAATCAGTCAGAGGGCCCTGGTAGGGCCCCTCATATCAGTCAGAGGGCCCTGGTAGGGGCCCTCGAAATCAGTCAGAGGGCCCTGGTAGGGCCCCTCATATCAGTCAGAGGGCCCTGGTAGGGGCCCTCGAAATTAGTCGGAGGGCCCTGGTAGGGGCCCTCGAAATCAGTCAGAGGGCCCCCACACCATCCATTTTCATAAGGCAAAAGCAGGGCTGGGGGCCCTGGTAGTCATAGGGCCTGCTGAAAAGGGGCCCACTCCATCCCTGTTTTCATCAGACGCCCTATGAAATAACAATGTATTGTATCGTATATGTTGAAACAGTTTTGGTCTCGGGCCCCCTTGGGGCCCCTGGCCCCAGAGGGCCCCTGGGCGCCGGCCCCGCTGGCCCGGTCCGTAATCCAGCCTTGGGTGTGAGGGAGGCTGAACCACCACAACGCAGAGATGACTGTTTGACAGGAAAAACACCGCCTGGTTTAACCTCTGTGTGCAGACTAAAACTATTTTTTGATCAGACTTTATATCTATTCACGTCAATAATTTCATCATTTTTTCACTAAAACGTAATGCAATGGATGTGTGACTGAAAAAGGAAAAGCATTAGTGTTTTTTAAATACTTTTCTGTGTTGACATACACATACTGTGAAACAACGCGCCCCCAACCCAACCCTTTTGTAACTTTCCACTGTGGTGGCAACATTTCGCCAACTCGAAAAAGAAAAACAAGCCACAGTGAGAGTCAACTTCAGCCCTGCAAAAACAATCACACAAAACAAAGGCAATTTTTTTCTCTGACATTTTAAAATGTGAAAATAGTTGTTGGTTCTATAAGAGGGTGTGGGTAAGGGGTAGGGTGCTGGAGGTATGTGCGTTTGGATTGGGGTTGCTGGGCTACGGATTATTATTAGCTCATCACGGGCCCATGACCAAGTTAACCAAACATGCTTTTCTGTAGTGGGAGGAAAATCTAAAATAAACTGGTGCATGCGAAGGGAGAACGTGCAAACTCACCTTTCAGTCACATCAAATAAAGAGATGTGATGGTTTCTATGAATGTAGGGCAGAAAGAAAGAGATAGCAGGTGGGCTTTCGGGGTCCGACATGTGGCCATGGGGGATGTGCCTGTAACTGGAAAGGAAGCAACTGACTTTTAAGAGTAAAATTACAGTTGAATCCAGACTTAATTCAAATAAGAAGAAGAAAAAGAAGGAGTAACAGCCTTTATCGTTCAGCAAAGGTGAAATTCATGTTTAACACATGCAAAAATGTACATAATTTGGTGGTGTGTTGAGGTTTGAGGTTGTGTTAGGTTCCCTCTTTTGTATCCAAAGAGCCAACCTGGGCCCACTTTTTCAGTCACGTCAGTTTGAAACCCCCGTGCAGCACATCAATCAATGCATCACCAACTGGGCATGTGTGGGTTTGTTAAAAGTGTCACGGAGGTAGTGATCTTAGGGGAGGACTCAGTCACGGAGATTGGTGAAAAGGGTTTTATTGTAACAAAAAAGCACTCAAAGGAGTGGATGCAGACAAGGTTCAAAACAAGGCTGTGACAAAAACTATGATCAAAGTAGCAAAGCAAGATTAACATTGCTGTGGCAAAAGTATCAAAACAAAGTAAACAAGACTATGGCAAAACAAGGTTAACAAGACTGTGGCAAAACGAGGCTATGACAAAAACATGGTTATGGTACAAAAACAAGACTATGGCATGGCTGTGACAAAAATCATGGCTAGTGCAAAAATCAAAACCTTACGTGGCGAGGGGTGACGAAAACAGAAAGACGAAAACACACTGGCACAGGACATGGGAAACGAGGACTATTTAAACACATGAGGGAGGGGAACCCCAGGTGTACACAATAGGTAATCAAGACATGACGAGACACCAGACATTTCCCCAGATGTGACAAAAAGTGAATAATCACCAAAATCTAACAAGAAAAACTGTTTCAAAGGGTTGTTCCAGGATGATACAAGCTGGTGGTCTTTTCCTGTTGAGCACCGGGAAATCCAGTTGTTGGTCTGGAGTGTTGCAAAATTCGGATTGCTATTCCAGTTTAGCAACATGAATAATCCAGATACACCGATAGCGATGGGAGGGCAATTAAGGAAAAATAGAAGAGAAAAACAAAACATGGGATAAATGACTGACATGATGATTTCTCTTATACTGGCCTCGTACAGGGAACGAGTTATGTTGCTGGGCCTGGAAGTACCATCTTTGTTAATTACGCCTGTCCATGGACAGTTATTTATACCACATAATAGCAATTAAATGCGTTAGCTTCAGACTAAATGTGAGGACAATAAACTAAACCTCATTATCCTTGAAACGTCATGGGGTGCGTATGCGTCAACCTGGGAGACATTTTGTACACACAGGCAGACATGGAAGCTCAGAATCTGGCTTTCACCGCAGTTATCAAGCAGTAAAAGCCAATAACCACAGACAGCTTCCTCTCTTCAAATTGCTTTTATCTGCTAGTTAGAGGAGCCAGAATGTGAGAAGCCCGCTCAAATCCCTGCACTGTACTGCTGTTGCTAAGCTTGTACTGTATATGTGTACAGTCGAAAAGAAAGGAGCACACAAATTACCATTAAAGAGAATGTCTTTTTTTGCTTTCACTTGTTGACATTTTCTAAGACTGCACCAGGTGTCAGGTGGAAAATATTTGCAAGCGGCGTGAATGCCACACATCTATAAGTTTGAGTTTTTGACTCTACTGTGGGTGCAATACTCTATTTGCGCGGTTCACTTTGTTAGATTAATTGATCTTTGTTCAATAGATCTTCTTTCTGATCAAACTTTTAACTGTAAAGTTTGCCCCTCGGTGTCAGTGTGAGCAGTCGGATCACTGAGAACAGCCCGCCTCCGTACAGTGGCTACAGTAACTGGTGCACAGTTCACTTTCTAACATTTGGCTGACGGAGTCCTGCCGTGCGCACAAAGATGAGCTTCACAGTGACTCTGGCTTTAATCTGCAGCTTCTGTGAGTACAAAGACATATTTCCGTTGAGCTTAATTGTTCACTGATGACAAAAGTTGAATGCTGATATTGAACGTTGTGATTAGTATTTCTACTTTCTTATTTCTGTGTGTTTGTTTCAGGTTGGGTCTCTGTGTCGGTGTCAGAGTTTCATACCGTGGAGGTCCAGCCTGGTGAAGAGGTCACTCTGCTGTGCTCCAACTTCAGCATTTTGCCTACTTTCATATTTTGGTTCAAAATGGCCAATGGACCAAATGCCACCTGTATCTCATATATGATGATTTCCGACTCCAATGCTTCACTTTGTGATGGATATAAAAATGATCAATTCAAAATGACGTCCAACACTACAAACCTTTTTCTGAACATCAAACAAGTGGATTTATCCGACTCTGGACTGTATTTCTGTGGAGTTTACATAGATGGACACTGTCATTTTCAGTGCAACGTATTTAGAGGTTCAAGGTAAGATTTAAGTCATTGATATTGTAGTGACTGTGTAATTACTGAAAACTAACCGTGCTGTGTACAAACTGTGACAGTCTCTCCTCTAGATGTGTGTAATGGGTTAACAAATCATCTGATCATCATCCTGGGAAGTGGAATGATTTTAATTATCATAGTTGTCATCTGTGTGGTTGCCAGAATCAGGATATTTCCTACAGGTACGTTTTTGTTTTAGTTGCAGATATAGAAAATTACGTAATACTATACTATACTATACTCTGAAATGAATAACTGATCAGATGAAATGTTTTTGTCATTCAGCTCAAATCCGCAAAATGCCGAGGTAATCACAATCCCATTTCATTATGTTTAGTCTACAAATCTTATATTAAATTTTATTAACCAGCAACTGTAACTTCTGCCATTTACAGACATCGTCAGATTCCCTAAACTATACAGCAGTGAGTTTCCATCTCAGATCAAAAAGGAAAAAAAGAATGGTGGAGGACAAAGAGCTGGCGTCACACGTGGTGTATGCTGCCACCAGATAATCACAAAGACGGAAAACAATTGTTTGTAAAACTTATCATTTTTGGCTTTCGTGTATATGGCTGACTTTCAAGAAGAATAAAAAAAAAGATACAAAATTCTGTGTGATTAAAAGTTGGCCTTTCTCTCTGTACATAACGATGTGGTTGGTGTGTGATGGAGGCGGAGCCTGTGAGGATTCTGATGGCAGTGCAGACAAAGTGGAAGTATGGTACAAGAGGGGAAAAAAGAGTTGACACATGTCAATTAAAGGAAACAAACAACACTGTAGTCTAACTTTTAGGTCAACTCTTTCACAGAAGAAAAGAGAATGTATAGTTTAGATCGTGTTTTCGAAACCCTCTGTCATGATTTCACTAATGCCTCCCAGCTGACCTCATACCCCTCGCCTGTGTATCTAAAGCCTCCTTCGTATCATTTCCTGTGCCAGATCGTCTAATCGCCTCGCCACAGAGTTCCAGCACCTATTGCAAGTACCAAGCCAAGTTTCTGCATGACCACAAGTTTAGTCTTGCCTTCGTAGGGCCAAGTTTTATCATGGTCATTCTGGTTTGGAACCCTTGTGTGTCCATTGGATCACCCTGTCTGTCTCATGCTTCTAAGTAATCTGCCATCCTGGGTATTATCCTGGCCTGGATTAATGACACTTCTGTTGGATCAAGAGTCAATACGTTGGCTTTCACGATTCAGGATTATCCCAGGACATATCACAGCCTAGTCACATTTTACCCTTCGGGATTGGTCTCAAGATTCCCAAGTCTGCAGTTAACAAGCTACTGCTCAATTTTCCTGATGTATTATAGAAAATAAACATACTTACATTACTCCTTGGGTGGCACGGTGGTGTGGTGGTTAGCAACATCACAGCAAAGAAGGTCCTGGGTTCGATACCTGGGGGAACCAGGACCTTTCTGTGTGGAGTTTGCATGTTTTCCCTGTGTCTGCGTGGGTTCTCTCCAGCTTCTCCGGCTTCCTCCCACCGTCCAAAAACCTGCATGTTAGGTTGATCGGACATTCCAAATTGCCCTTAGGAGTGAGTGTGAGTCTGTGTGGTTGTTTGTTCTTGTATGTCTTGTGTTTGGCCCTGCGATGGACTGGCGGACCATCCAGGGTGTACCCCACCTCTCGCCCGTTGACCACTGGGATAGGCTCCAGTTCTCCCCGCGACCCCATTATATCTATAATGGATGGATGGATATTACTCCTATGTGGTTTTAGTTTACAGGTCCATTCAAGTCTGAGTTTCCTGATACATTTCTTCATGGCCTATCCAGCTGCAATTGACACCCAACATTCCCACTCGCATACCTACACTATCAGATAAGTGGTTCCAAGAAGCAGACTGTAGACTGTAGACAATTAGGATTCAAACAGTTTAACAATTTATTGGTTAGGTTATGAGTTTAGTATTAATTGTTTTTCCTGCAAGGGGGCACATGGGTAAGGCAACAGGTGGAGGAACATCTTCACAATATGGGCTGGTAAGTCTGACACCTGAAGAGGATCCAGGAGTAGATACTCCTGAGTGAGTCTCTCTGAGAACAGGTTTGGAAAGAGTTTTAGTGGTGACTTGATGTAGACCTTGTAGGACTTCAACTATGCTCAGTGTGCACTTCATATGCAGGTAAGTCGGTGCTCTACGAAACGTGATGTGAATCTACCTGATATTTGAGAAAGGATCTATTGTTTTTGTCAAAAAACAATAGATCCAGGCTTGCCCATGGCATAATTTGAGATCCTTGGAGGGCTAAGGCTTCTTCTTTCTCTTCTTGACATTAAGGTGTGATGGTAAAAAACGAATTGGTGCACTGCAGCCACCAACTAAACTAGAGTGGGAATCGAAAAACATATCCTTTGGGAAGCTGTTTTGTGAGATGGACCAACGCCAATTAGATATCGTTGGGCTCATCTCCACACACAGCATGAGCTAAACTCTGGACATAGGTGTTATGCAGGTATGGGGATACTCCCAAGCATGACTGGATAGACATTTTGGGCTTGATCCAAGGTCTTTTGAGAAGGCTGACCGGTTCCAAGGGGCTAACAGGGCTTTTTTTGTTTTGTTTAGTGTTACATCACTGTTCTTTGCAGATGATGTGGTCCTGATGGTTTCTTTGGGCTGACACCCTCAACAAACTTCAGACGAGTTTGCAAATCTGAGGCCATGGTTCTCAACTGGAAAAAAGTTGAATGCCCATTAGTATACCCTTACTTTAGCGGCACTACCACCATGAAACAAAATACCAAAATTGTTGAATTGATTTAATTACATCTTGTTATGTTCACACAAAAAATCAATTCATAGTCAGATAAAACTGTTGTTTTATTGGCGCTGCAATCGAGGCTAATGTATCAAACCCAACTGTCAGATGCACTCTATATTCTTCTATTGATGTGAGTGTCTGGCAGCATACACCACATGTGTCTCCAACTCTCTGTCATCTGCTGATCTTTGTGCCCTCTGGATTCTTGACAGAAATTCACTGATGTATAGTTCAGTACATCGGAGGATGTCTGTAAACGAAAGTAGTAAGTCATATTTTAACAAGAGCTGATTAATAAACTAAATATAAATAATTAAAGTGTGATTACCTCTGCATTTTGTGGATTCTGTTCATCAGTTTGAGCTGAAAGGCAACAACATTTCTTCCGGTCAGTTACTCATTTTGAAGTTCAGACTTTGTTGTTTTTAAAAAGGTTTAAACTGAAATGAGAACTTACCTGCATGAAGTATCCTGATTCTGACAACCAGACAGATTATGGCTATTACAAGAAAAATAATCCCACCCCTCCCAGGATGATGATCAGCTGATTTGTTAACCCATTAGACACATCTACAGGAGAGACTGTCACAGTTTGTACACAGCAGTGTTAGTTTGAAGTAATTACACAGTCACTACAATATCAATTACTTAAATCTTACCTTGAACCTGTAAATGTGTCGCACTGAATATGACTGAGTGTCCATCTTTTTTGTATCCACAGAAATAAAGTCCAGAGTCGGAGAAATCCACTTGTTTGATGTTCAGAAAAAGGTTTGTAGTGTTGGAGGTCATTGTGAATTGATCGTTTTCATATCCATCACAAAGTGAAGCATTGGAGTCAGAATAGCTCATGGATGAGATGCAGCTGGCCTTGGCTTCGATGGCCATTTTGAACCAAAATATGTGCCTGACCCACCTACTAAAGTTGGAGCACATTGTTATGGAAAAAGTTCTTTAAAAGAGTGAGGCAAAGTTTCCTAA